ACGTTCGCGTTCGTAAACGATTTGTTAATTACACACGGAAATATTATTATTATTATTATTATTGTTCATTTTTTTCAAGGTCACGGTCACATAATTACCGATTTTTATGTCATTGAATTTGACCGGTCGTAGAAAAACAAAAAAAAAACCTGAACGTCGATGAACTCGAATTTAAAAAAAAAAAAAATTTTCTGTTTTTCCGAACGGTGAATAAAAATTTTTATTATTATTATTATTATTTTTAAAAAATTTTTTAAATCAATAATAATTTAATTGACCTTTGACACTTAATTGTCGTATTTTTTTATAAAAAAAATTTATTATTATTATTATTATTATTATTAATATTTCATTGATCCGAATTGTAAAGTTTAATGAATCATATAAAATCGTAATCAAGTTGTTTTTTCCTTCGTTTATTCGCATATTTTAATTTTACATATATATATATATATATATATATAAATTTATTAAAAAAATAAAATCAATAAAATTTTTTTTACTTATTAAAAATAATAATAATAATAATAATAAATCAAAAATTACTAAAATTCTCCAAAAAAAAAAAAAAATCGAAAAAGTTTTTTAAGGGCTTAAAATTCCAGATTATTATTATTATTATTCTCATTAAATTTGGTTACTTGAACGAAACAAACAACAAACGAAAATATAATTTATCATTATTATTATTATTATTTATTAAAAAAAAAGTTTCGTTGGAAACAAAAAAAATTATAATTAAAAAAACAAATTTTTGTCGAATTCCAGCAAATAAAGTTAACACGTGGTGGCGGTGGCGATGGCGGTGGTGGTGGTGGTGGTGGTGGCGTTGGCACTGGCGGAAAAATTTCAAAAAGATGCAAAAAAAAAAGAAATAATTTTATAGAAAGAAAATGAAAATGAAAAATTTGACTCTGAACGTAAAACGTTGACGTAAAATAATAATAATAATTAAAAAATCAGAATTAATAATAATCATAATAATAATAATAAAAAACGAATAAATAAAAATGATGACAATTACATTTATATATATGTAAAAAAAAAATTAATTAATTATTATTATTATTTACCATAATTACTATGATTACAACCACAAATCAAATGATTTTCTATAATAATAATTATTATTATTATTTTCAACCACAGGAACAACAGGAAAGCTGACATGGCAAAACTAAACTGACCTCAAACAAAATTATTTATCATCATCATTATTTCTTTAACTATTTTTTTTTTATCTTGTTTTTTTTTATGTTCATGTTTTTATTAATTACATTTCTAACATATATTATTATTATTATTAATACGATTCGAAAAAAAAAAAGTTTCGAGAAATTTAAAAAAATTATTTTAAAACCGGAAGTAAAACGTAAAAAAACCGGAAGTTTACGTTTTTCTTTTATTTTCATTTCGTAGTGAAGAAAAAAAAAAATTTTATTCAAGTTCAATTCCGTTGTCGATTTTTCCTGGAAAAATTCCATACGACAGACAAATAATAATAATAATTTTCCACCGAACGAAATCATTTTATTATCAAATCATATAAACAAAGAGAAAAGAAAAATTATTCGTGGAAAGGTATGAATAATATCCGACGAGAACACAACAAACAAAACTGGAAGGAAAATTCCATCGCTGGACAAAAGAAAAAGAATGAAAATTTATTTTCGTGACAAACACGATTAAATAATTGCAACAACAACAACAACAAACATTTAAAACATTTTAAAAACATAAAAACCTGTTGAACGTGTTATGAAAAAAAAAAAAAAAAGAAAAAATTAATCCATTATTTTCTTTGAAATCTTTTTCTCTTCCTGCTGCTGCTGATGCTGCAGTTCTCAATAAAAAAAAAAAAAAAAGGTTGACAAACGATTTATGAGATGAATCAATAATAACCGTGTCAAATCTTAATAATAATAATAATAATAATAATAATAATAATAATAATTCGAAATCGAATGATTAAAATAATTTTCCAGTAACAAAAAAAAAAAAATTAAACTTTTATTCTTTCTTTAACGATCCCACCTCCTCCTCCTTCCCCTTCTCCCCTCCTCTTCCTCCACCCCTTTCTCCTCCTCCTCCTCCTGGCAATGATTTTAAATCATCTTCTTATTATTCTATTACAAAAGATTTTCTTTTAATTTTTTTTTTTTTTAATTTTCTCGGCCATTTCTTACAAAAGAAATTGTATGTCTTATGTTAAATTAATTTAATAATATATATATTTTGTACTTCGTATTGACCCTGACATAATTGACCTTTTGTGCTTGAAAAAAAAAATAATATTGATTAATTGATTAATTTTTTCTCTACGAGATATTTAAACAAATAATAATAATAATAATAATAATTTAATAATTAATTTTTAATTATTATTAAAATCCTTGATAAATTCCAACATTTAAATACAATTGAATAGTTAGCTAGGTATACCATTATACCATATTATTATTATTATCATTATTCGTTTCTTCTTACGTCCTACCTTTAAAATAATACAATAATATTATTATTATTATTATTTATATTATTTCTAAAAAAAATTGATTTAAATCGATAATCTATAAATAATCAATCGTTTTCTCCCCATTTGTACCCGACGATTAATTAAAGACTGTGAAATATTAAAATTTATTTAAAATAAATAAATAAAACAATAAAATTTTTTAGAAAAAAAAAAAGAATCCTTTTTAATTATTTATAACAAACAATATGTGCAAATAAACAAACAATAAAAACAATAAAACAAACGTTAAAAAGTTTATAATTTATTTTTTTTTTCCTTCCTTCCTTCGTTTTCCTTCCCTCGTCACGTTTTATTGATTTTTTTTTTTTTTTTTTTTTTTTATTAATTATGGAAATTTACCCTTGGCCTAAATAATAATAATAATAATAACCCTGCTCAAGTGTAAAAGTGTAAAAAAAAAAAAAAAATTTTCAATTTAAAACAAAACCGTTTCTTTTATCCATCTTTCGTATTTAGGAACGTATGTGTAAACCCCTGGAGATTTTTTTTGTCCGCAACCTATTCCATAACTAATAACACCGACTTGATACCATTGTCCTTCTTTTTGACATACCAACGGTCCCCCACCGTCACCCTGTCAAAAAAAAAATAATAATAATAATATGTAAATTTCCCCCTCACACACATCAACCTACTCTCTAAATCTACATCTCAACACACACAAACTTTTACACTCGGTCAAAGTTTCACTTTTAAATTTCTTTTGAAAAAAATAAAAAAAAATATTACTCACGTCGCAAGCATCTTGCCCTTGAGATCCGGCGCAAACTAAGGTATCAGACAATTTATATTCAGGTCCGAATTCACGCCTTAAAGAATCTTCGCAAGCGGATTTGTTCCACAAAGGTACAATTATTTCTTTTAATACATCCGAATATCTGGAATCTAAATATCACAAACAAAAAAAAATTACACCTATGATTAACAAAAACAACAAACAACACAACCTGAACAAAAAAAAAAAAACAAAACCTTCGTTTGTTTTTCCCCAACCCGTTATTACGCATTTGGATTCCAATGGAAAATTCAAATCGATTTTAGGTAAACAAACAATGTCTATGTGAGGCCTTTGTTTTGCCGGATATTGTAATTTTAAAAGTGCTATGTCGTGTAATAAAGTTTCGTTATCGTATTTCGGATGTAATATTATTTTTCCAACGTTTCTATCTTCGTGACGTAGATTTTCATTTGTTTTCGTCACGTCGTATTCTCCCAAACGTACTTTGAGTTTCGTCCGTGAATTTCTGGAACTGGAATTTTTTTTTGTGATTAAAAAAACTACGGAAAATTTTCACGTTTACAATATGAAATTCGGAAAAACTTACAAATCTTCAACGCAGTGAGCAGCCGTTAAAACCCAATATTCATCTATTAAAGTACCACCGCAAACGTAAAAAAAACCTGGTTCTTCAACAATGGCGACCTGTAATAATAGCAATTCCTTTAATTTTCTGACACCATTTTCAGAAATAATACCTGGTACCCGTCATTCACATTGAAATTTCGATACCGTTTCTAAAAATCGGTAAAAAGAGGTAATGACGTAATAAGGGAAAAGTTTTTCGTGACCGTTTTTCTCCATTATTGGAAAGAACAATAACCGTCAATCAAAAACCGTTAAAAACGTTTTTTTTTTTTTTTTAAAAAAAAAGAACGATTTAAAATGACGATTGAAAATAAAAATAAAAATAAAAGTTGAAATTTTGCGAAAGTCGTGAGAATAAAAATTTATATTGAATTATGTGGGTGCATTGAAAATGTGTGTCAAAACAAGAAATTAATGTTTGTATATTTATATATATATATACTTAATCTTAACGTTATGTGAGAAATTTCGTTTGTTGTTATTTCCACCATTATTATTATCATTATCATTATTATTATTAAAAAACCAGTTTTTTAACTTTCGTTTTCTTTCTCGTTTTTTTTTTTTTTTATTTTTTTTTCCGTCAAATTTAATCTTTAAATAGAATTCATATTATAGTATTAGTAATAGTAGTAGTAGTTGTTATTGTCGTGATAATAATAATAATAAAAATAACCCCCCCGCGTTGAGAAAGTTTTAACGGGGAGGGAGGAGGGAAGAAGGGGGAGGGAAACATCCGGAATTTCTTAAAATTTAAATATCGTGAATAATCGATTGATTAACGTTTCAAAAGTGATTTCGGTATTGTACGAACGGTATTTTAATAATAATAATAATAAATGATGATGATGATGATGATGATGATGATGATGATGATGATTAGGGTGGTGTAAACGTACGTGCCAGGGCCATTCGGAAGGATCAGCAAAACCATCGCGACCGCTGTCGTAACCTTTTAAACCGCATTTCGGTTTACCACGAATTGGACGACTTTGAAAATTAACACTTTGTGCCGATTCGGATATGAGACAACAAACGTTTGTATCCGACAAACCGCAATAACTGTACGGATTTCCACCTCTGAAACAAACAACAACAAAAATCTATTAATTACCGGGAAAAATATTCATTTATTCGAAAGAAAAAAAATTAATAAATGACGTCACATGACGAATCGTATATAATACATAATCATCAACCACATACATACATAAATGCATATAATTATGTATGTTTGTATATACATATAATTAAAATAAATATATTCAATGATTTGGGTTTTAAGTTATTTCGTAAAAAAAAAAAAAAAATTAATTACCAAGCAAAACTAGAATTTCTACCGACGAAGATGGTGACGAAGATGACGAAGATGGTGACGATGATGATGATGATATGTATGTGTGTGTGATAATGTTTATAATGACATTAATACATTCAATAATTGCGAAACAAACAAAAGAAACTCATTGAATTTCTTTCCCTCTCTCTCTCTCACTCTCTCTCTCTCTCTTTTTCTCACTTTGTTTCGTTTAAGCAAAATAAAAAATTTGTTTTTCTTTTAGTAAAATTTAATAAAAATTTTTAATTAAAGGTTTTTAGTTAAATTACCTTGACCCTCCGCTCCCTTCTCTCTCTCCCCCCCCCCGGGGGTAATAATAAAAAGGTAACGAATTAATAAAACTAAATTTTATTAATATAAAATAAAAAAATTATTAATCGCAATTCGAAAAATACTCTTGGATGCCTTTTTATTATTATTATTTAATTTTTTTTCGGTGTCCCCCTTTTATTAGTAAGTAATAAATAAGTAATAAATTACCTTGTTACGCATGACCAATATTCCATACAATCGCAATTATCTCTTTTACTAGCAGACGTTATTGACGTGATACGTTGACACAATGTTAAATTCCCGAAGAATAATAACATAATAATAATAATACTTTTAACGTTATTAATAATATTTTTTACGCACCGTCCTAAAAACAAAAATAAAAAATATTAGAATCAACTCGTTTTTTTTTTTTTTTTCGAAAACGATCAGATAAAAATAAATACTAACTCATTTTAATAGTAATTAATAAATTATTATCACAATATTTTTAAGAAATAAATAAATTAAATTTTTTTTTTTTATTTATTTACTAATAATAATAACACCATCCCTTCCAGTTATTATCAAAGCACCGACTGCGGATTTCTTCAACTATTTGATTCGTTATTCGTCTTTTTTTCAACTTATCCATCCCTTCTCTAAATATTTTTTCGTCGTTATATTACGGACTGGCTTTTATATATTAATATATATTAATAATAATAATAATAATAATAATAATATAATCGATTCATTCAATTCCTTCCTTCTTTCTCTTTTATTGTTTGTTCTTATTTCGTATTTTTTGCAAAGCTATTAAAATAAAATAATTATATAAGAAATATGGCCGCCAATCCATTATTTATTGTAATTATAATAATAATAATAATAATTTTTTTTACGATTATAAGTCATTAAAATTGTACTTTTCTTTTTTTTTTTGCTCTTAAATTACTTAATCGAATTTAGGCAATATTTATTTTTTTTTTTTTTGTTGTTAAATCTTCATTGTTAACCTTGACACTTGTTTTTTTTTTTTTATTACAATAACAGTAAAATTTTTAAATAAAATTAATTATCAGTGTACTTCATAATATTTATTTCTCTTATTTTTTTTTTATATTTTACGATTGTGAAATATGTATGATATACGTTGTTTGCTTTTTTCCAAACATAAACGATTTAAAAAATCCGAATCGAAGGGATTCCCATGATGTTCCCAATGAAATAATTCTGATATTTTCAACGCGGATTTGATTGTTTTATTATAAATTCGACAACTTTTGTTTTCGTCATCACCATCATCCTCTTCTTCCTCTTCTTCTTCTTCTCCACCGTTATTGGGAGCTGGAATTTCTCCTTGTCCTGTACAATCGCACGACAATGAATCGTGCGTTAAGCAATCTTTAATATCTTTCTCTTCGCATGGGAAAAAAAGTTCTTTTAATTCTTCTTTAGATAATTTTATTGATTTATTACTTTTTGGATCGACTGTACCCTCGCAAAGACCTTGTTTGCTTATTTGACGCTGATAAATTTTTTCTTCTATTGTTCCAGTCGTCAAAAGCCTGAAATTTAAAAATGATCATAATAATAATAAAAAAAATACTTTAAAAAACACAAAAAATAGAGAAAAAAAAAATAACCTGTATATAAAAACGGGAAACTTTTGACCGTCTCTCCATATTCTGGAAATCGCTTGAAGATCAGTTGCTGGATTCCAGTCTGAATCGAATAGTATGAGCCTGGAAGCGCCGGTGACATTTAAACCGACTCCTCCAGCTTTTGAGCTCAATAGAAAAATAAATAAGTCACGTGACGTATTAAAATCTTCTACGATTTTATTTCTTTGTGCTGACGGCGTGTTACCATCCAAACGACACGTAGAGTAATTGAGAACGTGAAAAACTTTTTCTAAAAAAAAAAAAAAAAAAAAATAATAATAATAATATTAATGATTACACGTGACCAAATTATTTTTTCTATTAATTATATTGTATAAATAAATATTTACCCAATAAGTTTAAAGTTTGTGTTGCATTTGAAACGATTAAAACTTTTTCTTTGACTGACGTCATTTGTAATTCTTTTAAAAAATTAACGGTTACTTTTAATTTTCCGCTCGTGTCGATATCGATTTTCTGGAAAAAAAAAATAAATAAATAAATTTATTAATGATGATCATTCGTGTAATTTTTTTTTTTGTCAGTCGATATTTAAAAATAAATTTTTTGAATAAATTTTACCTCCAAGTAATTATCGTCTTTATTCAGTAATGACGGATAATTACAAATTTTTTTTAATGATGTTATAAGTTCAAGATGAGACGATCCTTCAATAAATTCTTCACTTTCCTTAGCGTTTAAAAATGAATTTACCAATGAATTATACATATTTCTTTGAGGTTCTGTAATCTTACAAAAAACTACAATGTCATGTCTGGGAGGTAAATAATTTTTTAATATGTTTCGAGTTCGTCTCAATAAAAATTTGTTAATTATTTTTTTTAAATTAATAGAACGTTCGTTTCCCTTTTTAACAACGTCTTCGTTCGAATCGGGTTGACGAGAGGCTATTATCGGATCTGCAAATTGAATTCGAAATTGCGATGGACTCCCTAAAATATTCGGATTGGCAAAATCTATAAGAGTGTACAATTCTTGAAGGTCGTTTTGTAGCGGAGTTCCAGTTAATAGAATTTTTTTTTTACAATTTAATTGATTAAGTACTTGAGCCGTTTTTATATTTGAATTTTTTATCCTGTGAGCTTCATCACACACTAATAAATCTACGTTGTGCTCCATCACGTTATTCACGCACCTGTTTTTAAAAAGAAAAGATAAATAATTAACACTTATTAAAATTTTTTTCCCTTTTCAAAAAACATACATAATACTTATTCGATAATTGTACCTGATTAACATTTCATATGAAATAATCACAACAGAGTGATATTTTATTTCAGATGGTTTATTTTTTTGATTAACAACATAAGGAACTATTTTAACTCTTCCAAGCCATTTGATAAATTCATTGTACCAATTCATAATCAAACTTGTGGGTGTAACGATTAAAACTCTTTTTATCACAGGTTTTTTATTGTAAGGTCCTTGTTTAAGCAAAGTCCTAAAGAAATAATGTAATTATAACTATTATGTTACTCGAACATTCCATTATCAATTTTTAACTGTGGTAAAAAATTTTTTTATCACTTTACCAAATTAATGAAATGCATTGAAGAGTTTTTCCAAGGCCCATTTCATCAGCTAATATTACTCCATTATAATTAATATCTTTGTATCCCATAATGGATTCATATAAAAAAATTATTCCTTCAAGTTGATGTTGTCGTAATTTTTTCGATAATGATTCTTCTATATACACTGGAGTCACCTTTGCACCTGACTGGTTAAAATGCCACTGATGTTCGGTAGTGGGATTGGGTAAAGGTATACCAGCTTCAAAACATGATCTGGGAGTTTTAAATTTTTTATTAGAATTGTTAGATTTAAGGATTTTAGGAAGTTGTGGAATAACTTTTTCATTATTTTCTTTTATCGATAAATTTTTTTTTTTACGATCTTTAGTTTCAACTAAATCTAACAACTCGACTTCCTTGCTGCCAATGCAAAATCTTACACCTTCTTCAAGTTTTCGAGCTTTACTACATTGTGCTTTACCTAATATTAAAAATTATAACTGTTATTGAATTTTAAATATTAATTAAATAAATTTTGTTTAAATAATTAAAAACCTACCAATAACAACCCCATTTTCATCTTTAAGTGTAACATACTTTGATCCGACTTCTAAAATACCATCACCTTCCCAAGTTTTATGTTTTTTTTTCGTTTGCTTTCCATAAACTACATTATATACAATTTCACACTGCTCACTATTTTCAGGTATGCATATCGAGTTAGAATCAGTTATTTTATTTTGTTCTACTACATCTAAAGTATTGGTATTAATATTAGAGTTTTTAAAACTATCATCTTCAAAAAAATCGTTTTTACTTTTAACGGAAGTAGAATCTAAATTTAACAGTAAATCAAGCACGCTTTCGGTACTTCGTTTGCTTTTATCATTTGAATCTATAGAAAAATTATAAATATTAATAAGAAAAATCTAATTTGAAAAAAAAAAAAGTGCCATGAGACAAAATTATTATTTTTACCTGGAGGATTATTATTTTTATTAAAACTAATTATATTTCTACGTATCGGCGAAGTGTTTGTTTTAAATGAAGGTGCTTGAGATTTCCTCATAACAAAACCAACAAAAAAAATTCAAAATGAATACCTTAAAAAAAAAAAAACATTAATTTGCTATTATAACTATTTGGCGGCACTAACAACCATTGACAATTTAAATGTGATTGGTTAATGTTCGACACTGTTCGTGCCACTTTGTCTATTGACCCGACAATTTTTACGAATTATATAAACATTATACACTTCTAATTTCTAATTACCTAGATTAATTTTTCATTAATAAAATTTATTTGGTACACTTAATAATTTAATTTTTAAACATTACCCACAACTAACTTTCTTAATCTTTATCATCAATATAATATTTCGATAATTTCAACGAAAGGAATTCAAATTGAAAAAAATGGCGGTTATATAAAAACAATTATATTTAAAAAAAAATTCGGCATGAATAAAATTTTCTTTTTTTTCTCATATAAAAAAAAAAGAAATAAAGTGATCACGATGAAATCACAAGGAATGATGTTGGGATATTTAGAATTTCGTAGTGGAATCGGCCTAGAAAATTTTAAAAATCCTTTTAAGTATAAACAATTCCATATGAGACTACATTAAACACGCGACATTAAACACTCACCCACTAATAGTTAAAATTTTTTCGCATCGATCTACCATACGAATTATTGTAATTATTATATCCTCTCCTAAAGTTATTAAAACCTATAATCATAAATAAAATATAGGGGAAATTAATCTTTTTTGAATAAACTTGGAAACTCGACAACAGTAAGACAACAGTAACAATAATAATAATAATAATAACCTTTTTTAGGCCTCGCAGCGCTCATGGCTAAATTTTCTAAATCCGGATCAACGTTTTGATTGGCTTCCCGTAAAACGGATATTAAATCTCCCGCTTTGCTCGCATCTTCATCCGTGAGAAAAGTGTACGACGTTCCGGTCGCGTTGTGTCGTCCCGTTCGTCCTATTCTGTGAATATAATCTTCCATATTGTTAGGATAATCGTAATTAATGACATACCTAATATCGGAAACGTCTAAAAAACAAAAAATTTCCCTTTTTATTAATTTAAAAACAGAGGGGAAGGGAAGGGAAGACAAGTTCATCTTGTTTCAAAACTTTTATTAGTAGTTAGTTGCAATGTTAATAATGATAATTTTATAATTTATTTTGTTGTTTTTTGAGAGCGCAAATAAAATTCGTTGAATTTTCTGTCATTATTAAATAAAAAGCCTGTCTTATACTCAATGAATAAAAATAATGACTGCAAAAAAAAAAAAAAAAAAAAGAGGAAAAAAATTGAGAGAAAAACCTAAATTATACTTATTGCATTTAGCATACAGCATTTAAATTACTATTAAAAAAAAAAAAAAAAAAAAAATTAAACTACTAAATTAATAACCTCGTGATGTACTAAAAAATATATGTAACAAAACTTACTTTGAATATTATAAAATATCCAATAAACATACAAGAAGAGGCACCTCCACATTTATTTTTAAGATGTGCAATAATAATAATAATAATACGCGAGGAGTGATTTCTTTTACAGCACATTTTTTTTTTTTAATGGCAGGATTGTCTTTTAATTTAAAAAAAATCCTTGCATTTGCTGTTTTTTTAAATTTTTTAAAGCACTCGCTCTTCAGACCGTACCAAACAGATCCGCAAAAAAAAATTTTTTTTTTTTTTTTTAATTTTTTTTTTAATTTTTCTTCAGAACGTTTTCAGGTACAGCCGGTCTTTTTAAATAAAAACACACATCTTGCATTTTTTTTCGGTGCCTTTGAAACATTAAATAAAGAACAAAATAATAGTAATAATGATAATAATAAATGTAACCAACAAATTAAAAAAAAAAATTTTTGTTTTAAATGACAGAAAAATTCATTACTTAACCTCATTATAAGAAAAAAATTTTTTTTTTTTTATTTACAATCAATCATTCTTCATTAAAAAACAATTAATCAAATATGTTTACCTAAACCTCTGGCTGCTACATCCGTTGCCACCAATATTTTTATTCTACCTTTACGAAAATTTGAAAAATACAAAAAAAAATTTTTTTTTTCAAAGAGAAATTCATTCGATTGCCGAAAAATTTTTACACGTTTAAAAAAAAAAAAAAAAAACTTTTTGTTCGATAATAATACCCTTTTTCAATACGTTTTGTATTAAAAAAGAACGCCTCTATACCAAATATTTTTAATATTGCACTCTACATATATTGATCAAAGTCAATAAATTTGACTCTCAACAAAAAAAAAAAAAAGTGCTTAATTATATAAAAAAAAAAAAGTAATAATGATAATAATTACCTCGCAGAATGAAATCTCTATTTTTTTGCGTTTTACCACCGTGCAAAGAATCACATCGGTATCTGAAATAATAATAATAATAATTAAAATTAGCTCAAATCGTTCATCTTTCAGTAAAAAAAAACACAATTTTAAAAAATTATTTATTCATCAGTTCTTCTTAGAGAAAACCATCACGGTCTCAACTTCCGGTCAAACGTATCATCATCATCATCATCATCGTTAGCAGAAACAAAAAAGCATTTAATTTAAATTTTTACTCACCCGAGATCTTGGAGCCAAAAAGCAATACTATCAGATTTCTGTTTGGTTGCAGTAAAAATTAAAGTTTTAATTTCGTCTTGCTCTCCAATTTCCTTCAAAACATTCTCGAGCCTATAAAAAAAAAAAAAAAAAATAATTATTAAAAAAAAATCAACTCGAGCCATAAAATTTCTCTCGCATCTTTTCAATTATTATCATTATTATTATTATTATTATTGGTCAGAAAAATAAATCATTTTCAACATTTACTCATTCCGATAGAGCTAATAATATTCTAAACGAAACATCATTTCAATAATAATAATAATAATAATAATAATAATAATAATAATAATAATAATAAACTAATTTACTAATTGCAAATGAAGAAAATAAAAAAAAAAAAAAACTTGCAATTTTTTCTTGTCACGCTCGCTTTGACACACGTGAACAATTTGATTAATGTTTGGATTGGCCGTCAATTCCTGGGATCCTACATTTAACTGTATGTAATCTTTTAAATATTCTTCGGCTAAACGTTTTATTTCTTTCGGCCATGTCGCGGACCACATCAACACTTGCCTATCGGGCTAAAAAGAAACAATAAATAAAACGTGAACAATTTATAATTACCAGTTTATGAAAAAAGATATTTTATTATTATCCTGTAAGATTGTTCTCAACCGAATAAACCCAAATTCCAGAAAGAATTGGGAAAATAGGAAGTTGAATTTTTTTAATATAGCATCCTAATATAAAAATCACTTGCAGCAAATGTGTCCACAAATGAAGAGTGCTAGTTGCTGTATTATTTAACATTATTATTATTATTATTAATTTAAATAAATTTAACCGCGTACCCGGATTTGATCAATGATTGATCTGATTTGTGGTTCGAAACCCATGTCAAACATTCTGTCAGCTTCATCTAATACTAAATATGTACACCTTTCCAAATTCGTAGTTCCCGAATTTAAAAAATCCAAGAGTCTTCCGGGTGTGGCCACACAAATCTCGGTCCCGTTTCTCAAATGCCTATCCTGAGGGAAAAAATTTTTAAAAAAAAAAAAAAAAACGAGTTAGAAATAACAAAATATCATTATTAGTATTATTAAAATTACTGGAACGGCAAATATACCTGGCCGTATTTATCTGAGCCACCGTACACGGCTACCGATCTTATACCGGAAGCTCTCGCGAAAGGAATTGCAACATTTTGAGTTTGCTGAACTAATTCTCTCGTCGGAGCTAAAACTAAAGCTATGGGACCATCTCCTCTTTCCAATTTTGGTTGATGCTGAATGTGAATAACCGCAGGTAAAACAAACTAGAAAAAAAAAAAAACCTTATTTACATATGCATGTAAATAAATATGCATAAATAAAAACGTAAAAATTTGATAATCACCCCTAATGTTTTCCCCGATCCAGTACGAGCTATTCCAACCATATTTTGCCCACTCAGTGCTATGGGCCAGCCTTGAGACTGAATAGGCGTCGGTGCAAAATAATTTAATTTCCTAAAAAAAAAATACATACATTTGAAATTTAATAAGAATTTAAAACTTGGAAATACACATGTGAAAAAAAATTGTAAAAAATATTTGCATTTATTTGAATGAGATGTGAAAAATCAATCCCATGAGAGAAAAACAAAAAAAAAAAAAAAAAAAAAAATGCACTTTTGATATTTCACTAAATTGTCCTCTATGGCAACCAAAATAACTAGTTGCCATAGTCTACTATAGTGAAGTGTACACATACGTGTCAAAAATAAAATTTATAATATAAATACATGGAAATTTAATAAAATTAAAGTTAATAATTAAATATTATTTACATTACCTTACAATATTAATTACATCATCTGCTAATCCGGTTTCTTCGAAAGAAAAAATCGGAGCAGGACAATTTTTTCCTTTTATAACAATTTCATTTTTATTTAAAAAGTCTTGTATTTCCTGCTTAGACCTGTAAGAAATAAATAAAAATTGCATATTAATTATTAAAATACTTTTGTTTGTTCCACATGAAATGCAATCGATAAAAAAATTGTCAGCCAATATAAACTAGAACAATGAACATGATAATTTCAAAATTCACTCTCATAAGCTGAAATTTATCTGCCACAGGTGTAACGCCAGCACTTTCATAAAACAAAAGTGACAGCTGACTCCATGTGGCATTTTCATTTTACACTTATTCATACCAAATTTAAAATTTACCTTTTTAATACATCAGGATGAGGAGAATAAAAATTTTTTTCAAATGGCTTTAACGTCACTTCATCCCAATTGATTTTTCCCAAGTTTTGACCGGGATAGTCAAAATCCCTTCGATTTCCAAACCTTGGTCTTTTGGATGGAAAGTGACCATTTTCATCATATCTGTTAAATTTGGGACTTTTTTTCACACTCAATTTCCTTTTTCCTGTAAATGCCCTATAAAAAAAAAAAAAAAGTCATTTTTAATAAATGCACATGGCGACAAATAAATTTTTCATAGCAATGCATATGGTATTAAAATTAAAGGAAATAATTATGTGCCTTGTTTATGTCAGCACAACTTATTATTAAATTCTATGGAAGTAAAAATATTTACGTATCACGAAAGGGCACGTGCTTAAAAAAAATTGAAATTTATGAAAATTATTGTACGTAAATTTAAAAATAAAATATTTAGGTACTAAAACATCTACGTTGTTAAGCTATGGTAAAAGCAACGAAAATTACAGATATTTAAAATTTACGGAATGAGAAACATAATCTAAAAGAAAGGGAATTAACTAACCAGATCAATAACTGTTTAGCCACATCATGAAGACCCTCACAATTAGGCTTTACTGCTCTGGCCAGCATTCTATCTATAACAAAAAGACATTATAAATATATCGTTAAAATAACTTTTATCGTATTATATGAAATTTTAAATAGTATTGTGATTTTGTCGTTGACAAACATATTGCCAACGCTAACATATAACACGGCAATAAAGAAGGACAAGTTTTAAGAAGAGAATAGCAAGTACCACGTGGCCAACAAGAGACAACTCAATGAAGTCATAATTACATTTACAAAAAAAAAAAATTGATTCAAGAACTTGTCTGACAAACTTATGAATAAATATAATCATTCTATTATTAAATAATACAGGACTTACATTTTTAATTGCGGCCAGATCCTAGATGGAATTAGGGAATTTTTAACTGAATTCCGGCAATACCTTACAACAAGAAGTGATAAAAAAAAAATATTATTACAAAAACACAAAACAAAAAAGGACATTATCAAGCCAATCAACGTTAATAATAAAAAAGAAATTATCAAACCAAACAATAAACATACCTAATGTAAAAATTTTGAAAACACACCTCGTGAGATCACAAATCAAAAAGAGATTGAGTATGGTGCTTTACAAAGGAAATACGTCACAAGTACATGGAAGAAATAAATGATAATTTTTTAATACTAAAAAAAATGAAAAAAAATTTAAAATTTTTTTGAATTTGAAATATGCACAATTATATAATATTAAAAAATTTTAATTGATTTTTTTTAAATTAATACAGTAAATTAACAGATAAAATAAGATATTTTAGTCATTAATTCAACGAAAGAAATATCAGATTAGTACATAGTGCGCAGCAAGATCTAATTGTCTTTTGTTCGATTCCACTTCCGGTTTACTTCCTTGCCTGTAAGCCATTTGCGAAACTGAGAGAAAGGTAAATTTTAATTTAATTACTTGCCTTCTTATGCCTTTTTGTATTCATTTTTATAGCTTTCATGTTTTTTCAGCTAAGTCACATAATAAAGTAGAAGATTACTGATTTAGGTTTAAAATTTATGTCGAGTAACAGTAACTTGATTACCAGAATGTATTCCAATGGTGACGTTTCATCAGTACCGTAAGATATACTTATTTTTCTCCTTCCTATGCCTTTATTTGTGTTTAATTATTGACCCTCTTAGTGGCCTAATTAATTGTAGAAATTAACCTTTTAAAATAGTCTAATGGCTCTCATAAATTTTCATGTTGCAATTTTCTTAGAGTTAAGCTTTTTACGCTTGTATTTTAATTATGAATTTATAATGATTTTCTAGTAATATTAAATCATTCTGAAAGTACTTTTTAATTAATTTTAGGAATGGTTTTAGAAATCTGAAAAGTCCTAAAGATTACTTGCATGGTTCAAAAAAAATATTTTGGAACAATAACCAGAACAATATGAATAGTTTTCAATATCAGCAAAAGCCTTTTGTCACATATAATAAATTCCAAAAAGTACCACAAAATATGAAGGCCAAGTTTTATGATTTTAATAAAGAATCTAGATTGAAGCAATGCTCCAATGAAGATGGCAAGGAAAACACCGAATCTAGGGCTTTATTGGTTAGTTTTGTCACATTTAATTTGTTCTTAAATTATGCTTTTATTTTTATTTTTTAATAATTGAAAATTATTTTAATATTTTAGCCTTTCACCAAAAATTTTTACATTCCACATCCCAATGTATTAAAACGAACTGATGATGAAGTTAATGAATATAGAGAATTAATGGAAATAACAGTTAATGGAAAAAATGTTCCAAACCCAAATCAAACTTTTGAAGAAAGCAATTTTCCAGCTAATGTCATGGCTGTAATAAAAAAACAAGGGTAAGTTATTTGAGAGTTTGGTAATTTATTAGTTTCTTTTTGTTCGCTCTTGGAATTTTTATGAAACAAAGTTTTCGAAAGATTTAACTAACTATTTAGAAATGTTGCTTTACTCTATTAATGTAAACATTTTTTATAAAAAATATTTGTTAACTACTTATAGCTTGAGCTGTTTAATTTTTTTTGTTTTTTTTAATTCATAAAGAAATTGATTTTTACAGCTTTTTGAAACCGACTGCAATTCAAGCACAAGGATGGCCTATTGCCCTTAGTGGTAGAGATATGGTAGGCATTGCACAGACTGGATCTGGAAAAACTTTGGCTGTATGTATTTTTTGTAGCATGATGTATTTTTTTTCAAAAAAATATGTACAGGAATACATAAATAAAAATGTTTGCAGTATGCTCTACCAGCTACAGTACACATTACTAATCAAAAACCATTGTCAAAAGGAGATGGTCCAATAGCACTTGTTCTTGCTCCCACAAGGGAATTAGCACAGCAAATCCAATCTGTTGCAAAAGATTTTGGTGCATCATGTTCAATTAGAAACACATGCATATTTGGAGGGGCTCCTAAGGGATCTCAAGTATGTTTTTTTTGTGCATCTATTTAAATTTGCATTAAACAAAAAGCAGCTTTTGAAGAAAAGTGATTTTTCACTTATTTTTCAAAGTGCAATGAATTTAATGCAATAATAATGAAAGATAATTAGCTCTGCATATTTATTATATTCAGAGTCAGTCTCCTTTCTACATTAATTATCCAACTATTAATTTTTTAAATTTTCACATTAATTTAATTTTTTTTTTTGTGTGTGTGTGTGTGTATTTTGGTGATGATAAATGTTATATTTTAGGCGCGTGACTTAGAGAGGGGTGTCGAAATTGTTATTGCAACACCCGGCCGCCTTATTGACTTTTTGGACAAAGGTACTACAAATCTAAGAAGATGCACATATTTAGTTTTGGATGAAGCTGATCGTATGTTAGACATGGGTTTTGAACCTCAAATTCGAAAAATTATTGAGCAAATTAGGGTATTTATTTATTGTTATTTTCGACTTTGCTTTAAAGATTCGTAATTATATTAGAAAGAAATTTAAAAAAAAAAAATGATCTGTTTTCAGCCTGACAGGCAAGTTCTAATGTGGTCCGCTACATGGCCAAAGGAAGTACAAACCTTGGCTGAAGACTTTTTACATGATTATATTCAAATTAACATTGGATCTTTATCTTTGGCTGCTAACCATAATATCCGTCAACATGTTGAGGTTATGCAGGTAAAGTTTTAAATAAAAATAAAAAATGATTCTTTAAGAGTTTAACACGGTTTTTGTAAATAATAACGGTTATACTAGGAATGAACATTAATTTACGTAAATAAATAATTTCTTAGGACTCTGAAAAAGAAGGAAGATTAACCAACTTGTTACGAGACATCGGAGGTGATAGAAATAATAAAATTTTAATTTTCGTTGAAACTAAAAAGAAAGTTGATGATATAGCACGACTTGTTAAGCAAGAAGGATTTCCTGCCATTTGTATGCACGGTGACAAATCTCAACAAGAAAGAGATCACGTTCTCAACGAGTTTAGAAGTGGAAAATGTGCGGTACTCGTTGCTACCGATGTAGCTGCTAGAGGCAAGTACTTTTAATCTAAATAACAGTGGAAAGGGAATAAATATTTTACCTTATAAATAAATTTTTTTTTTTTTTTTGTAGGATTAGACGTTGATGACATAAAATACGTTATAAATTTTGATTATCCTAATACATCTGAAAGATTACGTGCATCGTATTGGTCGAACGGGGCGTTCTTCTCAAATGGGTACCGCTTTTACATTTTTCACCCCGCAAAATGCTCGTCAAGCTAAAGGATTGGTAGCCGTTTTAGAAGAAGCTTCTCAACCCATTAATCCAAAAGTAACGGAACTTTTGGCAGCTACCACTAAAGGCCCGACTCCCGGTATTTATAACTAGTTCATTTCTTTTTTTTTTTTAAATCGCAGACGATAATAATAATAATAATTTGAAAATTTATTAGGAAAACCAAAATGGCCTAAATACAAAGAACCTACTAATAACTATGGAAACATTAATCAAATTTGGCAACCGAACAGCCCTGTGTTACCTCAAGAAAACCATTACTCCGGAAAGTACCGGACCGTTCAAAATGAAAACGGATTTAAGGGAAGAATGCACAATAATACCGGTTCGGAAATTTATCAAAAAATTCCAACTCGTATTAGCAATTGCAACGGCAACGGCATCAACAACAATAACAGTTATTTACAGAAACCGCAAAATCTTAATTTGAATCAAGCAAACAAAAACACACCTTTCGGTCAATACTATTCACCCACGAACGATTATAGGCAGGGTAAATATTTGAAAAAAAAAAAAAAAAACATTTTTATTTAATTCAGCTCGGTACTTTTTTTTTTATTTAAAAAAAGTAAGTTTTTACTTACCTTTAAAGTCTGAGCTAATAGTAAACGCAACGCATAGTGCCTGCTCACTTTTTAAACGGTGATTCAGGTCTCCGATAACTGCGACACTTGTATTTCCGACATCTTTTCCTAGAACAATAAAAAAAAAATAATAATTTAAATTTAATTTTTATCATTTTCATTTACAGTCGGGTAATTATAAAATTTTACATCCTCAATGGCAGCATTTAATCTTATTATTTATTTTTTAAGGTCCGCAAATTAATTACGACAGTAACATATACAACAATCAACAATGCGGCGGTGGTCAAAATTTTCAAAATAATCACCGACCGCCGGTCAATCACGATTTTATGAGAAGTCAAAGAAACAATTTTCAAAACAGGCCACGAATGAGAAGGTACGAAAAGGTTTTTGTTCAAGTTAAAAATGTATGATAAATATATATAACTTTTTTTTTTTTTTTTTTTATTTTAGCAACGTCATGAAAAATCAACCCAACAACAACGGTGATATATCCATGGCGAACGGATTGAATTCGCAGCACGTTCATCCGTGGCCGACCAACGGTCAAATCAGTGCTTTGCCACCACCAC